CTTGAGTTGCCTTGAAGGCAGAAGTTGGATAGATGGAGGTAAATTTGAAATCTTTCATGTTTTATCCAATTCATTCCTTGATGTCTTCCGCTCTGGTTCATATGATTAAATAAGTAGCAAATCGTTTTTGTTTCTGGTTTTTTTTTTTATTTTATTTCACTGACTTCTTAAAAGAAGCCTTCCTGGAATAAAGAGTTCCAGTAAAACTTTAGGGACCTCAAAGATGATCTAATCCAATACCTTTATTTTTAAAATGAGGTCAATATTAGTTACTAGGTAGTCAGTGAGAACCAAGGAGTTTAAGTTGTTTGCCCAAGGTCACATAGCTATTAGTGACCAAGTCAGTAATAGAACCCAGTTCTCTTCCTAGTCCAGTGATTCTCCCACTACCCTACATTGTCTACACATATAGATTATGTGTCTCCTTTTCCCTGAGTTCTGTTTTTCATTCCTTAATTTATACTTCTTCCAATTATGATTCGTTTATTTAATCAACAAACATTAAAATTTTGTTTCATTTCTGTGCAAAGTGCTGTGCCTCTAATCATCCTGAGATGACTAAATTAGAAGAAAATAAAGAGATAAAACCAGAAAGCTAGAACTAATCACAGGGAGCAATGAACTTGACTGCACAGTTTTCATATTTCTGGATAGAATCACAGAATCTCCAAGCAGAAAGGGATCCACTACAACACACTGGACAAGTGTTCATCTAGTCTTCCCTTTTAAAGACCTCTTCTGAAGGGGAACTCTTTACCACTAGAGGCAGCCCATTCCACTTTTGAATACTTTTGCCATCATAAAACATAGCGCTGGAAATGTTCTTAGATATCCTCTATTCTAAGTGCCTAATTTACAATTGAGAAAACTGAGGTTCAGAGAAGAGAGGTGACCTCCCTGAAATTATACAGCTAGTTAGTAGTTAGAGACAGAATTCAAACCCTGGTCATGTGACCTTTAGGTCTGATGGTCCAGGATACTTTTCCCAAGACCATATCTGTTTCTCTCAGAGAGTCCTTGTGTTGAGCCCAAATAAGTCAATCTCTTTGCAACTTCTACCTAGTTGTGCCCAGTTCTATCCTCTGGGGCAAAACAGAATGAGTCTACTATCTTTTCTACATGACAGCTAATTAAAGACTGCTACAATGTCATTCTTAAGTCATCTTCTCTCTTCCAGACTAAAAGTTTCAGTGTTGTTCATATGATATGGTGCCATGGCGGTGGATTGCCCTCACTGTATTGTTTGCCTTCCTATGGATGATTTCCTATTTGTCAATGTCCTTCAATAAATTCATAAAACATTTTAAAAGAACCTACTATGTGCAAGGTCCTAACTTGTGTGGGAATGCACAGTGACCAGTTGGTTGAATGTAGAACACAGTTGTTCATCAGATCAAATCATAGACTGACCTTATACAAGATAATTGACCTTCACAAGCCTAAGTATCCTAGTGCTATGTTCATACAAACATAGGATCTGGAGATGGAAGGGACCTCAGTGAGCTTCTAATCCAACTGCCTCTTTCAATAAGGAGATGAGGCCCAGAGAAATTAAATAACTTCCCCAAAGTCATAAAAGCAAATAACATGGCCAGGATTCAAACCTAGAGTCTCTGACTCTAAATCCAATATGTTTACAGTTTTCCATAGTTGCCTGTCTTTGGATATTGATCATACCCTTATTTCCTGTCCACTATCTCACAGACACATCCTGTTGCTCATGAGGAAGACTAGGGAAGAAAGCGAAGGTGTATATTGCTCAGGGCAACTCATCCAAACTACATGTCCTTCATATAAGATGGAAAGTACATCACATACATGGTGCATGTCTCATTGCCTCAGAATAGGGTTCAGTGCCCCCCAAAAGGCCCAAGACCCTACCCAACACTTTATGACTACCGGCTGCTCACCCAGAGAATCAGCCAACAGTGGGCACCAATTCTCCACCCAATCTCCTTATCTCTCCTGAGAGTCAGGATTTAGGACAGAGTCAGTTGGCACTCATCCTCTTCCTCTTACAGAGTCAAAGGGCAAGTTATTCAACCTCATTCAGTCTCTAATTCTGATCCAACCAAATTCTATTGTTCCCCTTTCTGTCTTGCCTCTTACCCTACCTTTTGTTTCTTTTCTTTACTTTGATGACATTTTTTCCATAGCACTTTCTAATTGATTGAGAAGATTTTCGTGTGAGTTAGAATAAAACCAAACAAAAGCTCTTTGGAGCCCACTTTGGGGAAACAGTAACCTAGACTTTAGATCAATAGGAGGCAAGTCATCTGTTTGGCCAGTTGACCCACCAATGTTACTTGTCAATTTCTCCCTAGGAGGAGGATTTATATGGGTATTTGGGCCCTTCAAAATATTTTCAAGGTTATTTAGGCCTTCATTGTAATTAGTCGTCAGTTGTATTTCTGGTATTTCTGTATTTCTGTATTCCAACTCCTGGCTCTAATTACAGAGAAATACAGAGACTCAGAGAAATACAGAGGCTCAGAAACTATCTTGTCAGACCTGTGTGACCAAATAGAAATACATCTGCAACATTCCTGCCCAGTTTCCATCCAGCCTCCATTTGAAGGCCTCCAGTGAAGAAAAACCCATTCCCACTAAAAGTAGTTCATTTCACTTTAAAAGGCTTTAATTTTTAGGAAGCTTCTCCTTTTATCTATCAGAAATCTGGCTTTTGGCAACTTCTACACAAGTTGTCTGGTGCTGATGGAGAAGTCCTTCTCAGCAACCTCAACAGTAGATACACAGTCCTTTCTCAGTAAGCAAATTTGGACTGTGCCCAATTTGTGTTTGGGTTGAAGGCAGAGGCTGTTCTCTTTTTCCTTATATCCCCAGTGCATAACATAGTGCTTGGTACATAGGATGCATTTAATAAATGCTTATTGACGGATTTGATTGGTAGAGGAATAAATAGAACATTGGACTTGAAGTCAAGAACAGCTTACTTATGTCACATTTTGCTTCAGATTCTTACTAGTTGTATGACCTCGGGCAAGTCACTTCATCACTTTGTTCCTCAGTTTCCTCATCTCTGAAATTAGGAACTTGGATCTGTTGGCCTTTAAGGTTCTTTCTAACTCTAAATCTATGGCCCTCTAATTGATTGATTGATTTTAGGGACCTTAAATGCCAAATACAGTAAGCCAATTGGATCTTTTCTCTTTGTTCCCCACCACAACCACCACTACCATCTCCAATGATGCTATTTCTTCAGATTTTGCTGGCTTGCCCTCAAGTCTTCAGAGGAAAAAAATGAAAGCAAATACTAATGCTTCTGGAGTCAAGGAGAGATGCATATGGTGAATAGGAAGAGAAGGAAGGAATCTTAGTTGTTTAACCCTTGGGGTATCAAGTGGTAGGAGGAGAAGGGAGGGAAGGAAGGAGTCTCTGACAAGAAATGTTCTCAGGTTATTGTATATCCATTGTCCCCCTCTCCTCTCCACAAAGTAAATTAAGAAATAAAGGTCCATAAAACCATAGCAACAACTCACATGTACATAACTCTTCACAGTTCACAAAATCCTTTCTTCACAACAACCCCAAAGGCTCATAAATCTAGAGGTAAAAGGGACCTCACAGACTGTCTAGTCCAGTGTCCTCATTTTTACAGAAGAAAAGACTAAGGCCCAGAGAGGTTAAGTCAGTGGTATCAAACTCAAATAGAAATGGGGCCACTAAATGGAACGTAATGATTCCTGCTACCACATATTGACTTAGAAAACCACATATTAACATTTATGTTCTATTATATTTCTGTTTATTTTGTTAAATATTTCCTAACTACATTTTAATGTGATTCAGGACACACTGTAAAGTATAGAGCCAGTAGGTGCATACGCATGTGTGCAATAGTGTGTGTATGTGTGTGTGTGTGTGTGTGTGTGTGTGTGTGTGTGCATGTATGTTTGGCACATCTGGGTTATGAGTAGCCCAATGTCATACAAGTAGTAAGGGGAAACAGTTGGAGTGGGTAGTTCAAAAAGTATTATTCCTATTATATAAATGAGGAAATTGCAGATCATGGCGGTATGCCCAAGGTTGCACAGAGATTAAATGCCAGAGACTTTACTCAAATCTCAGTCTTATGAATCAGTCAAGTCCTCTTTCCACCACACCACATCTACTCACCTAAAAAACCTAAAAATTTTGTATTAGCATATAGACCTGTGCTGTGGGTTTTCGCCATACTGCCCTACTCCAGGAAGGAGTGAGAACAACCCTCCTCCTACCAGTGATGAAAGAGAAGGAGAAAACAACTAATCTATTTTAATTTAATTATTGGTTGACTCTTTTTAATGTCTAAGGCACTCTATAGGATCTAACAAACCCTGTAAATTCATAAGTTGATCTAAAATTAAGATAAATGAATCTACCGTTCTCTTATTCTTCGCTTAAAAAGTTCTTGAAAGAGATTACTGCCTGGAGGACACTCATAGTTCCTTTTCATTATAAAAGAAAAAAAAACCCAAAGCATATGGAAACAAGTAAACAAATATTCAAAACAGAGGATGTGTTTTGCCTTGGGGAAAATTTATTAAAATCCAAAAATCCATAACTTTTCACCCTAGGGTATATACAACATTTTCCTACAAACCAAACCTAAATTACTATCAACAAGACCAGGGTGGGTAGGGACATCGTGAAGTTTATTATTGTCATTTTTTTTAAACCTGTTTTAGAATATGAATTGCTATTAAGGATGACACCTGGTTATCCACCTGCCTCTTCTCAGAATGAAATCCATAGGCTCATTTTCCACTGGGAACTTTGAACACACACCATCCCTCCCAAATTATTCACAAATGTCTTTTATTGTCATTCAACAAAACCAAATCCCCCTTTCCATCTTAGCTAAATTGACATATGCTCTAACTGGCTACTTCAATAATTTCAGAAATGTAAAACTTCTCAAGCAGGGAATATAAAAGTAAAAACAAAAAACAAAAAAGTACAACTCTGGGTATCTATTCTAGAGTCCCAGATTTACTCACTTGTCTTCAGAGAAACTTTTTCCTGTAATAACATTCTTCCCTTGGGGTACATAATCCCAGAGTTCTTCCACAATCCCAATATAGTATGTCCTTGTGACTGCTTCAACTAGCCCAGACAGATGAAGCAATGTGAGGAAAAGGATGCAGCCAGTGAGCTGCTCTGGAGGCATTGGTGAATGTAACTCAGGCAGCAGCATGCTCAGCAGAGAGCTTTGCCCTGTCCCTCCCCCTCACCCAGAACTAGTTATAAGTAAGGAATGGATGAAGTATGACTCCTCCTATTTTTAGTTTGGGGTTGGGACAGAGTTTGAAAGCTTATTGAAGTGGAGCAGGTCCAATGACGGAGTTACTGTGGTGACAAGACATTTTCCAGCCTTCCAGAAAATGTGCAACTGGCTTATTTGCTGCCCAGGTATGTTTTCAAGTTTGGGTGCCCATTATTCATCTGTGTTTTTTTTTTTCAACGAGGAATGATAATTGAATAATTTGACCCCTCAGGTGCTTAAGGGTTTTTTTTTTCCTTCTTCCTCTTTTTTTTTCCTCCACACCTATTTCAGCCATATATGAAAATCTGAAAACCAAGTTAACCTGAATAGGGTACGAGGAAATATCATGAACTCATGGGTAACAATCTTGCATTGAGAGAGGGATTGAAGAAGGATGATGTAACAGCTCTCTTCCATGTCCAACTTGTTTTATTGAGAAACATGAAAAGATCACTCATATCATAAAATATGCAGCCTGGCTATACAACCTCACTAATTCTCCCTTTATACACTGCCCATATCCCCTAAATTCTCTTTGTGAAATCCCACCATTACCAAATAGGAATCTGACTGCCCAACTTAGCCCAAGATTGGGAGATGGCTTCTTTCTTCAAGGGTGGCACTATGTTATCCCAACTAAAATGAACCACATTTCCCAAGATGAATGAGAGGGTTATACATTGGAAAAGAACATTTTAGACATATGAATTTAGTAATCAGCCCTAGGCCTTTGGGTCTGTAACATAACTTTTAAAGCCCATGCCTATTTAGAGTCCACTGTTGCCATGGAGAATAATGGGAGATGGAGTGGTGGGAGCTGTCCAGCTACTTCAGTTAAAAAGAAGGCCTAGGAGGGTGGGGTTGGCTGCACTGGGTCAAACATTAAAACATCCACACCCTACAGAATGCTGAGTGCAGCAAATTGAGTAAATGAGTTGTCAAACTTGCACCCCTATTGTTTATCTCAGTATCCAGCCCCTATATGATGACCCTAGAGTGTGTCTCCTTGTATACCCTTGAACTGCTCTTTATCCAAAATCTGTTTCTGCTTCTCTTCTGAACATCAGTTTCTACCTCTATTCTATTCTTTTTCACAACCCATATCTCAGATCCTGACTGCGGCTTATTGAATAATGCTTCTAGTCCTTAACTATACATGAGTTTCATAACAGTAACATCCCATCATCTTCCAGACGGGTTGGCTTCATTGATGGAAACACACAATTAACTCAACTTTCGCTCATGACAGGTTCCATTCCCATCCTGTATAATCCATCCATTTTTTTTCTGCATGTCTCCAGTGCAATTTGATAGCCAGTATGGTATGATGGAAGGAGCACACATTAAGAATCCCTTACTACCTATGGGGTCTTGGGCAAATCACTCAATCTCTCTGGGCTTCAATTTCCTCATCTGAAAAATAAGAAGTTTTATTTAAGAATCTAAGGTCTCTTCTAGCTCTAAAGCTATGATTCTATAACCTGGTTTTGAATCCCAGGTTTGTTACCTAGGTGACCTTGGGCAAATCAATTAATCTCATTAGATCTCAGTTTCCTCATCTGTAAAATGAGAAACTTGAGCTAGATGTGATAATAATGTAGTTGTTGTCTCCACACTTCAATAGTATGTGAAAACTTAAGGAAAGACTCTGGTAAGGTGTGTCTTCTGGGATGATAGGAGTAATTTGCTTTCTTCAGTCTCCACAACCAATTCCACAGGCTTGTCACCTACGTGCCCTGCCCTGATGCCACTCATCAGATTTAAGTAGGCTTTTTCTTCAGGTGACAGATTCTGCATTGGAGCACAAAGGCTTTGGGTTAATATCTTCATTAAATTAACAAAATTAATGCTTGATGCCTTGCTTTCTACTCATATCTGTAAAATTGTGACATTGATATTAAACATTAAATCATATTCAAATGAATAATTGCATGAAAAAGAATGTAATAAATACTTACTTTGTGTTGAGCACTGTACTGAGAATTGTTGTTGTTCAGTTGTGTCCAACTCCTCACGACCTCATATAGGGCTTTTTTGGCAAAAATACTGGAGTGGTTTGCCATCTCCTTCTCTAAGAACTAGAGACAAAAAACAAAATGAAGATCGTTTCTGCCTTCAAGAGGCTTACGTTCTAACAGGGAAAACAACATAGAGGGGAGTGGTGACTAGGGAGGGATATTTTGGTTAGAAAAAGTCACAGGGATGAAGAATGGAGCATAAGGGAGCAGACTGACACACTCTTCCTGATAGCAGTGGAATATGGGCTGACTTATGGCCATAGAATTGGAAGGGGAAAGGAGGGAGGCCACAAAGAGTGTATGAATACAGTGGCAAGTCAGCTTTTGATAAGACACGGAACAGAAAAGTAAAATATGGCCAGAGAAGCCATGCTAGTATAGTAGGCCACACATGAAGCATTCATTAGTTAGGACCTAAGGGCTTCAAGCTGGAAATTCTGGAGATTAAAGGGTTAAGTTCTCCAGGGCATTGTCTCTGGTCCTGGTGGCAAGGCATCTGGTAAGAGAAGATAATGGGAGAGTAGATATTCCAAGAACAATGATAATATTGGACCAGGCAGTCCCCAAGGAACCTTCTGGCTTTAGCTTTCTGGGACACAGATATGCCAGGCACAATAATGCAGCCCCCAGATCACTACATTGGTCATTAACTAAGGGTGTGGAAAGTTTGCACGAAGTGGGCCTGCCCAGCAGCTTCTGCACAAGAGAGAAAAGACTTGGTAGGCTGGCTCTCTCTTTTCATACACCTTTCAAAGAAAGTTGATTTGAGGAAATTCCTCTATGAAAAAAAAATCCTAGGTGGATTCTAAAAAATATAAATCTGTTTATTCTCTAGAGAAGTAAGTGATGTTTAACTTAGTATTTATCATATGCACTATTCAAACACTTTATTTCTAGCATGAGGAAGAAAAGATACAAACCACCACCATCCTATCTCATCCCAAATCAAGAAACATGAAAAAGTTTTAACCCTTTTATGGCAGTTAGATGATTCAGGGGATAGGGCCCTACATCTGGAGTCAGAGAGACCTGAGTTCAAATCTAGCCTCTGACACTTACTAGCTGGGTGACCCTGGGCGAGTCACTTAACCTCTGCTTGCCTCAGTTTCCTGAACTGTAAAATAAGAATAATAACAGCACCTACATCACAGGATTGTTATGAGGATCAAATGAGGTAATGGTTGTAAAGTGATTAGCATAGTGCCTAATGCACGGTAGATGCTTAATAAATTCTTGTTCCTTTCTCATCTCTACTTCCAAAATGTTGAATTTCCTGTAATGAAAACCCGTGGAGGAAATATCACTGAACCAAGGTTTCGTGATCAGAAACAAATCGTAATAGGAACAAGTCAATAGAAAAAGAGCCATTTTAGAAGAAGTGATTAATGCAATTATGTTCATTAGTAACAAAGAACTCAGCTCAGGGAGGAGGCAAAAGAGTCAGCACCAAGCTTATTACTCAGTTTTCTCACCTGTAAAGTAAGAGGGTTCAACTAGATGATCTGTGAGGTTCCTTCCATTTCAAGATCTAGGATCCCATGAGTCTAAAGAATGGAACCAGGGCAGCTAGGTGGCGCAGTGGATAGAGCACTGGCCCTGAAGTCAGGAGGACCTGAGTTCAAATCCAGCCTCAGACACTTGACACTTACTAGCTGTGTGATTTCGGGCAAGTCACTTAACCCCCAATTGCCAAAAAATTTAAAAAAGAATGAAACCAAGCATCCTGTGATGTTTTAAAAATTCTTTCCTAATCTGAATCCTCAGCTGGAATGAATTGTTATAGGTTATCTTGTTGTACAGGGATTGGGTCTACATTGGAGAGAGGAGTTACAACTATCTTTTTTCTTGTTGTTAATGTCCTGAAATGGATAAAAGCTCAGTGAGGCCACAAAACTTTTCAGTAGAATGGATTTTGTTCATTGGTTTATTATTATTGTTTTCTTGTTGTTACTATAAATAACAATTCACATTTATATAGCACTTTGCAAAAAAGTTGCCTTAAAAAAAACCCTATAAGACAAATGGTGTAGGGGCAGCTAGGTGGCTCAGTGGATAGAGCACCAGCCCTGAAGTCAGGAGGACCTGAGTTCAAATCCAGCCTCAGACACTTGACACTTACTAGCTGTGTGACCCTGGGAAGTCACTTAACTCCACTGCCTAGCCAAAAACAACAACAACAAAAAAGCAGAAAACAAAAAAAAAGATAAATGGTGTAAATATTATCATCTCCAAACTAAGGATCAAAGAAATTAAGTGACTCCTACGGTTACATGGCTAGTAAGTATCAAAGCCAAGATTTGAGCCCAAGTTTCATGCTTCTAAATCCAGGAATCTTTCCATGACACAATGTTACATAAGACCAGAAGTCCAGGTCTGCCCTTTACCTCTTCCTCTAAGTGGTGCAATAGATAGAGAAATGGATTTGGAGTTGGGAGTCTTAAATCCAAATCTTGCTTCAGATACTTAACTAGCTATGTGACCCTGCGCAAGTCACTTAGCTCTCCCTTCCCCAGTTGCCTCATCTATAAAATGAGAAGAATAAAACCACCCACTTTACAAGGTTATTATGAGGATCAAAGGAGGTAATATTTGTAAAATATTTTGCAAACTTGAAAGCACTATATAAATACTAACTATTATTGTTATCTAATGATGCTGAGTCTTCATCTTTTTCCTCACCTCCTTTTGTCATTTATCCTGATTCTCTTCCCACAGTAATGGCTCACCTATGCTGGCTTTACTGAAACCTCCAATGACCTAGCACCCCAGGGAGTGTGGAAGAACTGGATGGGACAACCTAGGAAGGGAGGGGTTCCTGGGTTTTCTGGGACAATGCCAGATTATTGGCCCCAGTGCTTCCTAAAAGTCCCACCTGCAGAGAAAAGAACCTCAGGAAACCCTGTTATATAGCATCAGAGACGCTATTAACTGGCAGCAAATTGCAGGGTGTGGTTTCA